TACTATAGATGAAAATTTGAATTGGAAACAACATGTCGACAAAACATGTAACAGGATAAACAAATTTGCTTATGCACTGGGTCAAGTTGTAAAAGTAACAAATAAAAAAACTGCTGTTATATGTTATCGGGCTTACGTGGAATCGATATTACGTTATGGTCTTGTAATATGGGGTAACGGCACAGACTATCACAGAGCCTTCATAACTCAAAAAAAATGTATCAGGGCGATCTGTGGAATTCCACCTGATGAATCATGTCGGGAGTCATTTAAGCAACTTGGTTTATTACCGCTATCATCATTATATATTCTGGAAGTGTGTACCTTTGTGAGGAAATACAATCATTTATTCAAAAAAGTTAAGGACATTCAAAAATTTAGACAACGTCGAGACCCTGATAGACTTATATTAAATGTAATTCCAAAATCGGATAAGTATGTGAGAAGTTGTTTGGCTATGTGCGTTAAAGTATATAATAAAATTCCACATGAACTGAAGTCTTTAACGCCTGGATTGTTTAAAAGAAAATTATATGCCTGGCTAAATTGTAATAATTTTTATAGTATTAGCGAATTTTTGAACAAAAGGAATTAGAATATTACATTGACTTTTTTTTTAACATGACATGTAATTTCAACATAATAAGAATTAAATAATTTTATTGTAATAATTGTGACTGCATTAGATTCCATTATAATGATTTGCATGCTATTTGAAAATGGCGAAACATGAGAATTTTGTACAATTTTAACACCTTTATACCATGTTTAAGGCAAATAAAAAATTATTATTATTATTATTATTATTATTCAGTAGGTCTTATCTATTTTTGATATCCCTAAATGATAAGGTGATCCACCCCAAATTTTTATGACAAAACAACATTTGCCAGGTCAGCTAGTTTCGTTATCCCGTTAGTGTAAGAAAACTAGCTCAATATTTAGCAAACAAGTTGTTATTGATAAATAATATGTCAATATAATTGAATGATGGATTAATTGTGGCTAATATTTGTAAGGTTTACATAATTATCGTAACCTACCAATTTTGCTGTGCAGTATTTTCGGAAACCGACAGCTGTGTGATTATTTTTTTTTTTTGTAAGTGACATTTTGTTATTGGTTGTGATGATTGATGGTTGTGAAGTTGTTACGTTCACAACAATAACTCGTAACAACTGGATGTAGCACGCATTGTTTTTTTTTATTTAAGGCAAAGGAATCTAGTTAATTTTTTTTCTGGTTATTGATTCATTTTCAATTTTGATTAAATAATGAAGGCCCTTATATGTTTGAAAGTGCGCGACATAAGACCTTCTTCTATATAAGTGTGATTGACTGTTATGATTCACTTGATGTTATTTTACCACTAAAACCCTACGTTGTAATTAGTCTTACGGAAACGGGACTTACCGAAAAAAATGTAATAAATTATTTGTTTCTAATAAAAATGAAGTCAGCTCTATAAGTTAAAATGTTCAATGTTCATTCCACGAAATTATTAATTTACTAAACAATGCTAAACAATATAATATTGTCAACAAAAAACTTAATTATTGTGATTGCAAAAAAACTGTAATGTCTTGGATTAAATCACTAAGTTATATAGATACTGAAAATGTATTACATAAATAACAAAATAAGTAGCTTCTTAAACCTCATTAAATAAATAAAATAAGGTTTAAGAAGCTACTTATTTAAATCGACTAAAATACTGGGCATGTATCATTTTCTTAACGTTATAAACTCACACTCACACACACTAACACACACACATACAAAATATTATGAATTATTTGTCTTTTGAGGAGCGGTGATTTCCCAATACAGGTTTATTATAAACTCACCACAATATTGTAAGCAAATAATTTTTGTTAATGAAATAAAACATTTTTCATTTTCATTACTGTGATATTGATGACCAGATAAATATATTTTTATAAGTGATAACCACATTATAATTGTCGAAACTGCCTAAATTATCTGTAAGTACAGCAAGAATGAATTTTGATTTAAAATTGTCTCCATTGGGGAATGACACCGATTCCGTTTTGTCCCATATATAAAGTGAACTTTTTGTGCGTGTAATTCTTAAATGTAATTATTTAATCGAGACGAAGTCCGCAGCGGCACGCGTCTAGCTCTCCGTGTAATGAAACATTACTCGGCTGACTGCGGTCCGCGGCCACGATTTGCTTCGTTCTTTTTTTAACCCCACTTCAATTAATAATCCATTGAAAAAGTGTGCGTTTAATTGGGTACTTTTTTAAATGCATAGATTTGATGTCTGATGCAGATGGGGGTTAAGTTTTTACTTTAAAACAAATAAAATATTCAAAAACTTTAACAGTGTTATTAATAAACAAGGTATAGCGTTGGAGTGAATTTACGCTGAGACTGTACTTAGTCAAAATTCATATTATTACTTGACTTGGCAAAGATTGACCTAGTAGGAAGTTTTACGGGAGTATTATTTTCTCCTTGAAGGTAATAAAAAATACGTATTTTTTGTGTAATCCATAAGTTACGCCGATACATTGAGTTGACGCTTTTGTACATTTTATACAAAACTGTGACGTAGCGAGCCCTCAATCTTTAAGTTTATTGCCCATTAACTAAGCCATTTCTTGTTTAAGTTAAACCAAAAAAATAAATTACGTATCTATTATCTGACTGATTCAGTTGTTATCCCTAGGTCAACGTTTAGTGTTAATGTTTGTAGATTATTTTTAAATTAAACAGAAAATAATATGCATCACTATATTTGGACAAGAGACTTATCGATAGACAAAAAAATATTTTTTTAACAGATATTCAAAAGGACTTAATCGAGAATATGATTGAAAAGTTTTTTTTTAAACAGAAATAGTTAAAATAATTTTATTAATGATTTTTTGCAATTCAAACGTTATCTTTAAAATTATTTAGTAAAATGGCACTTGCACAGAGATATTTTGTTATGTTTCTAAATATAAAAGAACCGATCAATGATTAGGTTTGTAGTGATCAAAATAAAAATTAAGCTTTACGCTTTCGCTTAAATATACAGAACCAATACAAGTAGATACAGAACCAATATCACATATTATTTACTACATATACTGCTTGGTTTATTATTGTGTCTTTGAGACCTGATTTCTAATTGTGTCTGAAGGACAAAGGCTCTTAAAGTAGGTAATAAGTTTTCTAACTAAATTAAAAAATAAAACGCGTGTGCTATCTCAAATTATTAAAGACGCTTTCTCTGTCTCATACATCATACAGTTACGGGTAAACTGAGTGTTATCGCAAATCAATACAAAAGAAAATATGTAAATATCTATGTATATGTTAGTTTTAGGTGTAACACTTACTAGAATAAAAAAAATGTTATTAATCTCAAAAACCAGATATACCATTGTTCAAAACTTTGCTTAATAGAAAAATCTAAATAAACCTATTCCAACTAAACGATACATCGATATAATCTGACGATAAACGTTGTTTCCCGATAGAGCTGTCATAAAAACGACGAGAGAAAATTTAAAGTAATACCAATTCATCAAGTCACATACCGGCTTGACACTTCCCTCATAACAGAGGGGCGTGACGTAAGGGGGTTGCGTAAGCCACCCGTAATTATATAGTGCCACTAAACTAATTTCACGATACATTGGCGTCGAAATCTGCGCTCGGCACCGACGAAATACTACGTTTTTTTTCTTTCATAAAACTTGATTACTAGTGTTATGTGTTATTTGGTATGAATTGCTAATGGCACACTGCGGGCATCGAGCGTGGTAATGAATAGATGATGTGGGGTGTTTTCATGACCTTCGTTTGCCTTCAAACCTTGATGTATATCGATAAACGTCTTTAACTAATTGCCAGTTAGTCGCATTTTAAATATTAGACTTCATAACTAACTACTGGTTAGTTGTATTTAGAGTAATAAGTACCCCATGTTTATTATCCGGAACCGTTAATTAGATCCTCTTTTTGGAGGAAAGAAAAATGTGTCGTCCGAAACTGTTTTTAATGACAGCTTAAATACACCAATTACAGCTTGAATATTTACACGTGACTTCATTAGTGTCCTTAAGCTTTTTAATAATCCTTGCGTTAAGATCACGTAATTTTTCATTTGGAATTTTGTATTTTCTAATAAAAAATAAGCTCTTAATTGGCATGATTTTTTTGCCGATTTTTTTCGTGCCATCATACTTAAATTAATTTGTACAAAAACTTATTGATTTGTGCCCGATGATCATGCTTATGACTTAGGTACTTTGTTTAGTAAATATTAGAATATATATAAAATTATTATATTATAAATTATTATATATTATATTATAAATTATATATAAAATACAATATAAAATTAATTACCGATTCCGAATTAAGTAGCTAAAGCATCCTTTTTATGGAAATCTGAAACTACGAAGGTACCACAACACCTAGCCCGCATCCGGTGGAGAATAAAACAGTTTTCCCGACCGGGACTGAACCCGGATCCTCAGAGATAATGAAAATAAATGCAGCACTTTCTAAGTTTCTTGTCGGCTTTTCTAGACACGAGGTCTCCCGCCGAAGATTTACGGATCGATGGCATAGAGTTTCAACTATCACAGCCCAGACTGAATGAATGATTTGATTTGATGATGACACCTTGACAGAGGCGAGCAAGCTATGGCCATGGTGATAGTTGAATATAATTAGATGCCTTAGGGGAAACTTGGTTTTCCCTGGTATAGGTCTTATAGAAGAAAAACTTACAAAATTAAATTTTAGAAGAAATGCATGCATTTGTACGAAATACTAAATAAATAAATAAAAAATGCCGGGTCAGATGCTTTAAAGTCCTTTAAACTCGTACCTTTTCCTTGATAGATGAACTTCTAGATTACAGATTAAATATCCATTTAATCTGTAATCTAGAAGTTAGTATTTTTCTCATATATATGTAAGGTTATTATATGGTTTATTAAGAAAGAAATAAAACTTCAACAAACTGAAAGATACATTTCATAGATTTATTATACAAAATCTTAACACTACACTTGATTTTAACTTATTACATTATAGTAACACGTGAAATTTACAGTTCTATTCGATTAGTACAGATATTAGTAATTAGTTATATAATTATTGCGCAAGATCATCCCTATTATGGGAAATCCTTAATTATAATAATCACTAAGGGTTGAAACTCACCGCATGCCACCGAATTTCGATGTAAAACTATGCTTATCATTACATGAAAACTATAGCGAGTGAGAAGACACTCTGTGTTTAAAATTATTACAAAAAATAAGATTGATTTTAGAGTGATAATTTTGGATATTTCTGTGAAGCATTTTTTTTATTAGAATACAATTAACATTTTAATGTGACAATAAGACAAAGCTACACGGAAAAAAAGTAGACGCGGCATTAGATGTAACATTCAACCCTAAAATACTTAAGTACGAAATCTTAGTATATAAGAATAAACGACGAAGCTCAGATATTTCTTATGATCTTTATAATTATTCCGATTTATGTATGTACATAATGATATGAGTCTCAAAATATATGTATTTGCGGAAAGAAAGCTTACATGTTGAAGCACCTATTATACTAACAATTATTTTCGCTACGATTGAATTTCGATATTTTGTTTTGGCGTTTTCAAAACGAATAGTGGACTTAATTTTTTGCTATATTAAAAACTATTACTCGATATTATCCAAAAAATTATATTGTGTTTCATTTTCCAATATTCTTTAACCCAATAATAATAATATAGGTGTTAGTAAAAATGATATTACATAAACGCATAGTTTATATATGATGGCAGCGGAATATTGATGGCATAATTTTTCAATAAATTTCTAGAAAAAATATGTGCTATTTTATAGTAAAACTGTTAAAATTTTCCTCTGATCAATATTAATAAAATGGTGAACAAATGTCGATACTATGTACAAAGCTCTAAGGTACAAAGTAATGATATGAAATCGAGAAATTTCGTAAGGAGGTACAATTTTGATGACATTACGCGAGTCAAGTTCGAATTAGCCTATTAAAATTACAAAACTGTTTTTTTTTCTGTACAAAAATATTTTGAAAAATCGTTTAGACTAATAATATCGCCGTTACTTATTAAACCGGGTTTTAATAATAATTTTAAATAATATTATGTATACTTTAGTGTAAGAAACATTCGTCCAAAATTCTATTTTTAAATTGGCTTTGTTGTCATGCGATTGAAAAATTGTGTTATAATGTCTTTATATTTGAATTTTATATAATGAAGTTATACAAATAATATTTTACTTTAAAAGAGTTAAATTAACTAGGATAATACATTATATAAATCAATTAAGGCAATTTTTCAAAAAATTTTTTCAAAACCATGGCGATTTGGGGTTAACTAAAAAAATTGAAAATCGGGCTTAAACTAATAAAATGTCTTAACTTATTTTTTTCAATAAAAATCAATATTATTTCTTGATTGTGAACTTTCTAATAATATTTATGTTGTATTGTGGAATGTGAATACACACTTGTCTATTAAATATAGTAAAATATTTGAAACCATATCGTTGCGGCCTTTAAGCAGCAAAACGTTATCATGTAAAAATTTAATCTCAATACATTCCCCATATTAGTTAAAATATTTAAAGTTTCTTATATATATCACAGGCTTAAATTATATATTTTTACCATTAGGGACGTGCATACTATACGTACACTTACATTAGTAGGTACAGTTGAACGAAAATTAGGTAACTATTTACACAAATAGGGGAAAAATAATGAGGCGAACCCTCCCACAACCCTCGGAGATTTCAAATTACGACCGCAGTAAGGCAGCGGTGAACTACGTATCTCTATACTCGATCATTAGTACGCGAGTACTCGGTGCGATGAATCTTGATCCGTTCTTTAATTTACATTATCCGATCAAAACTCATTGATCGCCCAAAGGTCTAACTACATAAATTAGTCTTCTATAACTTACATAAACAATATTAAAATGCACATAGGATCAATTTATTTATTATCTTAAATAATAACAAAACAAACATTATTAATTACTATTTGGGTTTAAAATGCTCTCATTAAAATACTTTAAGATTTATCAAAATTAATTATTTCCATTCAATAATTCTAACAATTCTTCTAAACCCTTACCCAACGAACAAAGCGTACTTACAAATTTGAGAATCTCAACTTCTAACCTTTATACATTCCATATCCAACAAAGCAACGCACAACGCCGATAACTATCGATCCATTGAATTTTAATAAGTGTCCATTCAAATTTTGAATGTCAAATCACCTTCTCATGATCCCAGTGTGGTTGGAGCGATGCACTACGTATCACTACACTTTAAATATACGTAAGCTATAGGGTGTCACTGAGTTAGGTACATACACAACTTGAGCTTGCCACTATTGAGTGAGATGATTATGTTTTGGATGACCGTCGACGGACTCACGAAAATATATTGAAGTATTTAAGGCCGGCCGATACGAACGGCACCGGTATTGAGCCAGCATAGTAGTTAACAGACTGAAACATGAGATAGGCGATGTTTAGAAGCTATCACACGATCTCATTAGGATGGGTGTTCTGATTAGAGTCATTCTGCCTCGCACATTGCTGTAAACAAAGAAAAAAACTATGATTAGAATGTGTTCAACAATATCCTAGCGTATTATTAGTGTATATTAAGTATTGTGATTGTAATACCTCCTGTTTTCTTTCCCATGTTTTCATGGCTGTTTTATACTTTTCAAATTCATGGCACCAATTCGAATATATTTTCTGATATTCGTTGCTTTTCTCGGGTGGCGAACATCTGAAAAGATTATTGAAAATTTTGTTATTTCGTGAGTGTGTTTAGTTCAAAGAAAGCATTTTAATGCAGATATTTTATTTTATTCTTACCGGTGAGTATCAACTGTGATATTGTATGAGCAAAGGAGAGATCCACCAAGCCAACAGTCATATCTGCCAGCGTCACCTTCATTGACAGATATTATTAGTAGACCATGTTCCGATGTTTCAATGTACTTCTCTGGCTTACTGTAAATAAAATAGATATACACATAAGATATATAGTTCTAAGTCACATGTCGTAATACAAAACTGACATTATAATAAAATTATGTTTTATTATCTCTTTTTACTAATGAAACAAAATTTTGTTATAAGTTTAGAATTATTGCAAAATATAGGTTATTATAACATTCATACCATTTAATGTATAACAGTTATAGGATAACAAGTATCAATCAATGTGGTCACTCTAAAAGTTGTACAGATAGTTATAATGTAACATTTATAGTAGCTCAGTTAACTTTTAAAATAATACTATATAATGTTGATAGTTGTTTTTTGATAACGGGCACTCTAGAATTTTTCAATTGGGGTTTTATCAAACAAAATAAATATCCATATTGTTATATGAAAATATAATAGTAAAAGTAACAATTTCGTGGCGAAGTTTAAGTTCTAAATTCGTTATATCGTTAACCCACAGAACGTGCCAAAGGTTGCACAAAGACACCTTAATATAAGAGATAACGTTGTTTAAACGAACTCCATAAACAGGGTAATTCGAGTTCCCCCTGCATTTTAATTATACCGAAGGAAATGCGATAAAGGCAGATTTCGAAAGACTTAAATTAATGTTGTTGCATGCGTGTTCAGTTGAAATGTTTTCACAACAATTTCGAAGCTATTTAAATTGCTGTTTGTCTTCAATGTGGGCGAAGGAGGCGCGGACGATTTCTTTTGAATACAAATGCACCATTCTCAAACTGTGTACCAACTGTTACAGTTTTGAGGTTGGTCTTGAGTTTCCAGTTGTACTTAGCCCCACTTCTTCGCAAACGGCAGTTTTGTTGTAATACATTTGCATTCTGAAGTTTCACAGGCTCGTTTTCATGAATCTCGTTATTTAATATCATGATTTATTACTTAAACAGTTTAATGTGAAACAAAGAACGATATACATTTTAAATTTTCTAATATTTTATGAACAAACTGGACTACATTTTGAAGGTACAGGTGCTAATTTAAGCTAAACATTTGTATCTAAAGTAATGTTATGAAGAGATAATGTTTTGTAACTTGTTTTTTTTTTTGTTTGTACGGGATAATTTTCAGAACTCCTGATCATGTCATATAATCCTTGCGTATAATCTTTTTTACGATTATTCGTGGGAGACTTTACACGGGCAAAGTGTATAAATATAAAAAATCTGTAATATTGAGAATAATAAGAGAAAATAATTAATAAAAAATAACCATATGAACGCTGAAAATGCTGTTAGATTTAGTTGCATTGGACCAATCGGGAATTTAATCACGTTTATAGTGTTGTCAACCTGTTTAAAGGAAAGCTTAATGTAAAATGGGTATTTTGGTCTAATTTTGACCTCTCTCGTTGGCGTAGTGGCTAAGCGCCCACGGTCTTTGCTGTTAAGCAACTTTCTCAAGGGTTGGTCACGGGATGAGTGGTCAAAAAAATATTATATTGTACTACTCTGTGCTTCGAAAGGCATGTTTGCGGATACCGGTTGCATTTGTAATCGTTAATAACCCGAATCCGTATTGAGCCAGCATGGAAGTTCAAGGCCCATCCTCCTTAACCATCCATAAGGAGTTCCTGCAGTGGTAAAAGGGCTGATGTTGATGATAATCTAAATCAAACTTACTTAAATGTGATTGGATGCCGGCCTTTCTCTCTAGAATAATGGTACCACGTGACAGCTCTCGGATGGAGCACTTCTGGCATCTTCACGAAGCTGCCGAGGTGGAGACTCTGGCCCCAAGTAGCTGAGACACTCTTGCGGGCAATAGACGAATCGCAAATGTCCGCTGTTTCATTGGCTACATCTTGAATTAACCTACGCAAAAAAGAATATTTTCAAGGGAAAATTTTACATACTTTAACCTAAAGCTAATTATTCAATAAGCAAATAATTGCTAAATCAGTCTTGTTAGTAATTAATCTGAAAACTGGATATCAATCTAAATCAGAAAACTCTTAAATATAGCAAAAAAAATGTAGCTATATTAGAAAAAGGTTATTTAAAATTTAATATTTCACCGAGCTACTTTGTCTCCGATGAAATTTTCCAAAAACGCATCAGTGATTCTTTTCATTCACACTTGAATTGAAACAGATGCCTTTAAAAAATATTAATACTGCATAGATTATAGATGTTTCCATCAATAGGCTTGTGTTATATGTTCGGATAATATGAACGATTTTATCTTATATAACTAACTAAATTTTATGACATATATATATGTATATAAATATGGAAAATATTCTGAAAACTTGAAAAACGTAGGGAAAATATACTACAAAAATTTGCTAAAACACATAAGGCATTAAATTAGTTACAACTTTCATTATAACAGCTAAAATTATAATAATAACGAAGGTTGCCCAGACGTCCATACGTTTTTCGCTACCGTAGCACACTATGTGACGTTACTTAGCACCTTATCTCCGAAACTATTAATCGCAGACATGCTGTGACTTCAACATAATTTCTCAGATATTAATGGACTACTTACTTATTTATAAAATAAAAAAGTTGTCAACTAGCCTATTAGTGCCATTATTTGGTTTGACTCTACTGACAGTCAACGACATCGGTGTGCCGCGAAAACAATTGAGATTTGATATTAGTCACTTGTTTTTGTTTGACGTATTTAAAAATGTTATATCAGCCAATTAACACTCCAATTAAGGTATAAGTGGATCTTTCATTCGTTTCATTTTCATTTTACATGTAAACATTAATTTATTCACTTGACATTGGCAGAATTGCGAAATGCGCAGATAGGCCAATAATAAAAATAGAAGAAGAAGAAGGTATAAGTGACGTAATGTTCATTTATTAATTCTAAGGCAGTGTAGTAAAACCCAATTAATATAAATAATTTGGGTTCTACAAAGATGTAAGATTGGATTTATAATCAATCTTATTTTAATAACCATTAGGTATACCATATTTTATAAAATATAATGGACGAGATTTCGATTTCGATCGCACTTTAAGACATTGTCCAAAATGAGCGAATTTGCCGCGAATATAACCGGAATTTTAGGTTAATCACTGCAAACGAACAATGCATGTATTACACGCGTTGTTTTATAGCGAGTCTAAGAGGGCCACGTGTGCGGTCGATGGCGATGGCGAGCTACGTAAATCATTCTGAATGATCAGAATTTGCCGCGCTTCGAAGTCTTCTACCCAAGTAAATTAGTGACCTATATAAGACGTGTTGTACTATACAAAGTTCGTAAATCTCTTACTTACCCTGGCACATATTCCCTGCAGACCCCTGCGTCACGGTCCCACCCGCAGTAAGGATCGCGAGCGCATCTCACGCATGCGTCGTAGCGGCGCGCGCACAACGCTAGTCGGAGTTGAAGCACACGTCGATCTGACGCCGCGTAGAGTGAGCCATGCTTGCGAGACAGAGCCATTGCCTGGTGAAAAATATTGGCGTTGAAAAAAAAAATTTAGCAATTCTGTTGAAGAAATGATACTATTATAATTATATGTAATCGGGTCTTGTTCGTGCATTTCTTAAAACTATTTTTTAAAATTAGACTAAATTTAGTTTTAGTCCTATCAAATAGCGTTTTCAATTTTGCAAATTAATAAAACAGAAGTCATCTTGTTATATTGTAGTATACAGGTCGTATACATATATTTCTTTTATTAAATTTATTTAAGCGTATGGCAGTCTATAACATATGCACACATAATTCTTATTAAAAAGTAATTAAGAAAGAAAGAAAGTATTATATAATCCATGGTTTGAGCCTCTTCGCCGCAATCACACAAAACAGAACTAAGAAACAGAAAGATTACGAAGTAGATTAAAGCCCCTAGGTTTGGCCGTTGATTCTGCGACTTGTGCAAACATTCCGTCCGCTTTTGTGCTCCACTTACACTTCCAACTGGTAATCTGGTAATCAATGTCAAAGTGAGAGAGACTCTGGGCTGAGATGCAAGGGGGTGACGGGACTTGAGCCTGACTGTCGGTGGATGGCAAAATTCATCATCGGCAGGAAGTTATGGTGAAGCAGCTATTTTTCTTGCCCCTCTTTTTAGTAATTTTTATCTGCGAAGGTGTGGAGGGGCTATGTGTGCTAAAACGGGCAACTAGAGTTGAGGGGTAGATTTGATTGTTCCAAATATACACCGCATGGCGTCGTGCAGCCTAGTTTTCATCCTATGTACGTGACAACTGTTAAACCAACACCAAAGAAATACCAGTAGTGCGTAGGCAATCTGCAGAAGCACCCCAGGTCGTTCCACAGACTTTATGTAAAATGTTGTTTCTAGTCCTAACCTTTTACCGATGTTCTCTGCAGGTTATTGATCTAATCAGTGTAATTCCTAAGTATTTAGGAAGGAGGTTATATTTCAAAGCTTGTCCCTAAAGATAAACTACTGGTTGGTAATGAGCTAACTGATTATTTAAGTGAAAAGCAGATACTGCAGTTTTACCCACATTTAGGGATTAGTCGCCAGTTATGAAAATACCTTGAGAGTCTCTCTAGGTCATCTATAGAAATTTCTCTCTTGCTAAGAATTCTCTGCTCTGTGATATCAGTGCAATATCATCGGCGTAGATGAATTTTGTAGCTCTTGTCGTTCATGGATATACATATTGAAAAGTTGTGGGGCCAAAACGGATCCTTGCGGTACACTAATTAACCCTTTTGATATGCATATTGGGAGGTTATAAGAAATGTGCTATCCACTATTGTGTTTCGCGTCACCAGCGGCCATCTCAGATTCATAACACGTTTGGAACCAGCTTTATAGTTATTATGAAGAGGTTTACCAAATTTCAGATTAATGGATCAACAGCAGATTTCAATTTAAACGCACCAGATCAAGCTAAATAAAACCGTTTCAATCGAATCTCACTGCCAAACCCTAAACGGACACGGGTTCATAACAGAGTGACGATATATTTAGGTAGAATACGAAGGGCAACTGCTTATTAATTATAAGTAGGCTATTAAGCTTTAGGTTACGTAACAAATACGAGAGTTCAAGTTCAGCAATGAAATACTACCTAATTACGTATTATATATTACACTTACATATTTAGTCAAATAGTAAAAGATTAGATTACTTGTAAGCGTATCGTCTAGATTAAAGAATCTATTTAGAATCGATTAAAGAAACAATTATTGGATAAAAAAGATATTTAATTAGACATAATTTATGCTATCGTTAAAAGTAACGATAGCATAAATTATGTCTAATTAAATATCATTTTTATCCAATAATTGTTATAATGAAGCACTGAATATTACATACCTGAATAGGCTCGCCAGGAGTGACATCAAAAATGTCCAGAAGAGCCGATTGGCTATCCCCATTGCGTGTCCATTGCACGATTTTGTGTATTTTTCCTTCATCTGAAAAAAGAATTTAAATTGTAAACTCGGAACTAACATTTCAAATTGTCAAGATTTAAACCGATATATAAAAAAAGCTATTTATCTTTTGGTAATAAAATATTCGTAAAGAAAGATATACTGTCATAAATAAATGATAGTTTTTATTACTTAAATAAGCAATGTTTTGTTTCGGAGTAAATTTACTGTAAATTTCTTTTAGTATTAGTATGAGTTTCTATTATTAAACAAAGTAATATGCTAATGTGAGTAGTATTAATTCGAGCATGGGAATAATATTAACTGCTAGAAGGTATATGTATACGTATAAATTCTTGTTAGATATGCATAGTCTCTATTTAATAATATGAAGTTTGGTAATACCTACTAAGTGTAATCATAGCGTTAATTTAATCCAACGCTAAACCTTTTTATTATTATTCCTACGCAGTTATACTAACGCCATAGTAGGAGAGAAATGTAATAACGTAATTCTTATTTAAAATAATAACCCCTTTTTGCTGATTTTCTTGATTTATGTCTCTAAATACTTTTGAATGATTCACAAACAAAACCATAAATATTTTCCTTGGTTTAGGAGCTACGATGATACAGCCAGTCATGCAACTCTAGACACGTGAAACTTATAACACCTGTCGCTTGTGTCAGGGGTTAAAAACTGAACCTTGTCAAACTTCTAACAACTTTGTGTCAGGGGTTAAAAGTGAACCTTGTAAACGTGTTTGGCCATGATTAAAATTCAATTTCATCATTTCAAAGGTGGCGTGATACCGCGTGAACTCGTAGCGGCGCGATATTCATTCGCAACTATTTGTCTGTCTGATAAATTAGTAGGGTCCCTCAAAATGATAGCCCAATTAGTTCGCCCTGTCGGGGACAAAAGTCGCGACACGCGAAATTATTGTTTAACATTCGCCTATATTTTGTAAGTAATATATCTGCATTATTGTTACAAAAGACTAGGCTAGACGTAAATGCTATGCAAGACAAATATTTCTTTTTATTTATAAATATAACCTGAGAATCGATGTTGGAAAAAACCTTCTTTAAGCAAAACATAAAAGATCATATGACATTTAATCGCTCCCTTTTGTGTTATAGTAAAATTCTTTCATAATATTAAAACAAAGTCATGCTTGTTTATCTGAATAGCTAAACAAAGTAGTGAACTATTTTATCATGAGGTACAATTCATTAAGATAGTTTATAAATTGATTGAAGTATGAAAAATAACAGCGGTTGCAAGATGGTATAAATAGTATAATTACGGCAGTTCGACATCGGACTGGATTGCTAATATTAATGAACTATCTGTCAATAGTTTTACATATCAAAGAATAGATATAAGAAAACAAGATTATAGTAATCAGGCGTAGCCATACAAAATACCAATTACCGATTCGATTCGGAAACCAAAAATAGACAAATGGAAATCGTTTAATGTCAAAATAGAATCTATTATGGACTAGTTAGTATTTTTTTTTAAACACCATTTTCTTTCGATCAATCAGAGGGTAATTTCGTACGATCCATTTATATTTTATTAACCTTTTGGTTTGCTTGTATCCAATTCAATTTCCAAGAATAGCATTGAGCTTTTGCGATATTAATTTCAATATAAATGTAAGTATATTAGACTAGTTTTCGTATTTCTTTTAATTTTCTATTACGATTTGATTCGTAACAAAATTGTATTTGTAATTGGAACATAATAATATCAAACGATATATAGAGAACATTGAATCGTATAGATTAGTGTTTCCCAACATGTGGTCTGCAAGCACTTGGGGGCCTGCGACTGTACGTAAATGGTACAGTGAATGTGAATAAACAGTCTATTAATTTCTCTACTGTTCCTTTCTTATATATGGAATCCTGAATAGGGAGAATAGGGCGTTAGAAAAAAAATGGATTTTTTGTAATAGTAGTTTGACATTTGTTTTTTTATTACGGGCAAGGAATTTCATATACGATTAATCAAGGAAGTGGCGGATTAGTCATTAAGCAAAATCAGAGGTTTTTCTTTAAAAAATTTTATTTTATTTTTAGAAAATTAGTGAATTTTGTACTCCACGTGACTTGATTTTAATATATACAAATGATCAATCCTTGTATTATATATGTAATTTTCTTAACATCAATATTAGTTCATCAGATGATGAAGCTTGCTCAGGGTGTCAAGTAGTCTTAATCTTAAGTTCCTAGGGGTCATGGTCCAGAAAATGTTACGAACCACTGGTATAGATGTCCAAAATCGATGGTAGCACAATACGCCCGGCACGTGACCACCATAGTCAACCTTTCCATGAGAATCGCAGCCTCCTTACAAAGCGACACAATTAATATTCGACCCACGGAACTTAATAGCTAATTGGATTAGAACCATGTACCGAAATTACCTAACCCGGTTACGTACAATAGTAACGTACGTGTCGCACCAATAAGACGGGACTCGGCAACGCTCCGATATTGTTCGTTATAGTTGAGCTATAAATCAGTAATTATATTAGTACACCCTTAATGAACGGTAATACGTTGATTGTGTGAATAGGCACGCACGTGTTTACGATTCCGTGTTATTCCGAATTGGAATCAGCGGTGGCGGGCGAATTTAATTTCGCGCGAACGTTTGTAATATTGTTTTGTTAGATATCTATTTGCGGTGAGGTCCCTATCATGACCTGTTTTAGTGTAATTAGTATCAATCTACAGTAAAGTTATATTCATAATTGCCATGTTGGCAAATAAAGCTTGAAAATATATTAACAAATTCTCTTTTATTCTAATAAATTAAAAACATATGTCAGTTATTAGTCACGATAATAGATAAAAAAATCTCTCTAAAACAGTGTTTTTAGGTTTAGTTAATTTCATAAATTTAAAGATGGTATCCGGTCTAATCCCATATAAAAATATTTAATTTTTAGATTGATATTAATTTTTTTGAAAGGAACTAGTTTTTGTTAGTTAGATTTCAGATTGTGTAGCTTCTTGAAATTTATACAACTGTCTCGAGTTTGTTATACTACGCGTGATAGAATGATTATGTTTGATATGTATAAATTTCTTTTAGATAAATGGTACAGCTAATATTAAAAACATGTGAAAGCGATACGGACTCGCGCGACTCAGCGCGCGAACCCTATGGTTTAGCACCAATTTTATAGATTTCCCCCTATTTTATAAATACTTATAGAACTATTTAAAATATGAAAATATATATATATATTTCTGATTCAAACATAATACATTTTTTATTTATCAAGTTACCCCCGTACAAAACTTCCAGGCACCGAATTCTTTTGTTTAAATCAGTTAGCCACAAACTGTCTAATAATAACATCTACTCAAATTTAAATTCAATCGGTCTAATGGTTTCAATTATAACAACGGACGGACAGATACACAGACAATCGAGTGAACCAGTTTGTGTAGATAAATATCAAGGTAGTTACAATGAAGAACTACAGATAAAAGTTCCGTAGTCTTCCATTCCTGTTTCTTAGAAGACACAATACAAGACGCAGTATATTTTTCTTCAACAAATCTCGTAATAACATCATTGGATTTTTTTTAACCTTTATTACTAATGCTCAAAGCATTGGACAGCTACTTCTGTGTAGTATGGCGACGCAACGAAACTGGAACATTTTAGCTTTCATCACATTAATGACATCGTATTGTAAGGCACGTTTTCCGAGTGAATGCCGAGTTGGTTCTACCCTTTGGCCTATTGCTGTTAGTTGCCCGTAGTAATTAATTCGGGGAAGATAAACAGATTTATATAATTATGAGTGAAGTAAGAAATAAAGACAATATATTTTAACATCTTTTGATAATCTACCTATATGTATTGAAAGAATGCCTTTAATACGGCGTTAATAAATCTCTTAATTATATCGTGAACTATTTATAGAGAAACTAGATGAAGAACTTCTGAATATCCTTATAAAATTTCATCAAATTCAGTCAATCCAATTACATCCAAGTCAATTAAAATTGTCACACAAGGATTCTATATGATTAGATGATAAAATTGCATTGGGATGTTGTATAAAAAACTTATAGCAAAAATTATTTAAGCAAAAGCAGAACTCTAAGAAAACATGTAATCTAGACGGTCACGCTTGATCGTGAAACCATTATGGAGGTTTGAGTATCCACAATATTGGTCTAGTTATAAAAGAAACCCTAACTTTAATACACCACCACCACCAGCCCTTTTACGTCCCCACTGCAGGGGCTCAGGCCTTCCTTATGGATGGTTAAGGAGGATGGGCCATGACCCTCCTCGCTGGCCCAATGCGGATTGGAGGGTATTGACGACTGCAAATGCAGCCGGGACCAACGGCTTAACGTGCCTTCCGAAGCACGGAGTAGCTCGAGATAATAATTTTTTGGTCACCCATCCTGTGACCGACCCTTGCGAAAGTTGCTTAACGACTACGATCGCGGGCCGCGGCGCTTATCCACTACGCCACCGAGCTACTCCTTTACTTACTTTAATACATTATCTGCTAAATTTAAACCATTTAAACCATTATCCGCTAAATAAAACAAACATGTCTCAATTCTACGTTTTCTCTTATGTTTAAACCAAATGCTAACTTAGATCCTAACGGTATATGTTTATAAAATTTTTACGTGACAGTTAAAAGAGTCTTCAATAGTTTGGTACATAGACTAGTTGAGTCTACTAATGTATTATATACTATTCGGGACTAAGGACATGGTATTTATGAACCATATCATATATAGTATATCTAGTTATGACTCTAGGACTCTCAAAACTAGCATTAAGAACGTTTAATTCATTTCACCAATTGATATGTTAACGTTATTTGGATATCGTTTTTTATTATTTAAATTAAGAATAAAATATTATTGTTAATTTCCGCTTCCGAAGAAGTTTCTATTCATCAAATTTTAATTTATTTAAGTATTTAAGTCGGGCGGAAGTGCTCCGTTGGTAATTACGAGTATGTGATAACCACCTGACT